ATTTCCAGATTTTTAAAAAAAATCACATTTCAATCATGCTTTCAAACAAAGAAAAACCATGCATTTTGTTAAAAAATTCAACCAAACAAAACATTTCCTCAAACAAGCCCATCGGCTGAGGTATCCTGCAGAGATGTCACTTGTCTTGCTGTTGCCACAACACAACAACAAAAAAAACAACTATTTTTTTACTTTCAAGTTTCCTCATATAATTTTAGTACAGTAGTCTCCGCCTAAGATCCTGGTGCTCGGGAGCAAAGAAATGCGGGATCTTAGGCGAACCGGGATCTTAACCGACGATACCAGGGAAGAATCTATGGGGACTCATGTTAAGGCTTACAATCAGTAAAATGGTCTCCCTCCACCTTAAAGTGAACTGACGTGACCCCTTGGCGGGTTTATGACGTAAGGCGAGCAAAGAGTGGTTATCCCTGATGGCCTGTCACAGTGCATAGTGCCATGAGGCGTGCCATTTTCACTTATTATCCTGAGTCTCAAGATCTACGCTTATTCAGTTGCCCCTCCCCTTTACCTGTCGAAAATTTATAGCTTTCCATCTCTGACCGAATCCCCCCCCCCCTCCCCAAACGCCTTTGTCGTTACACACCATTACGTCGTGAACACACCAATTAAAATTCAGTCTGTCTAGCAAATTCGGGCGTAGAGACAACTGCTGCAATCAACGCCTACTGCAATGGTCAGGGAAGAGTTCACGGTTCGATGTGATCCCACCTGGAACGAACATGTAGGCCCTACCCACCCAGCGAGTGATGTAAGTTTAGGGGGAAAGCTCAGGTGTGAGTGCGATGCGTGGGGAAAACAAACGCGTCGGTCAGTTCACACCCCGGTGTGATCCCGTCGGGGGCAAACATTGTATCGCTTCATCCAGTTTTACAACGTGTATGTGATCACATTCACGATAATGGCTGATCTTTGACGCGACGGACAGTTTATTGATCTCAACTTTTCACTCTTGCCTGATCGGCTGTCCCGCCCGCGTTTTTGTTCCGCAAATTATGATCTGAAATGCGCGATCTTAGCCGAATGTAGACCTTCAGAGTGAATCAGAGCGGGATCTTAGGGGTGATTTTTGTATGGTAAATGGTAAAAATTCTGTTTTTTTAAAACAGCGGGATCTTAAGCGAACCGGGATCGTAAGCGGTGGGATCTTAGGCGGAGACTACTGTATACAAAATGAAACAAATGCCAAATGTCTCTAAAAAAAAATGTTTAGATAAAACAGTTTTGTTTCAGTAGAATTATTTTGAAATTGAAAAAAAATAGATCACAATTCTTGTCAAATCAACCGCAAACAAAGAGCATTTTTCATTTTCTTCAACTAATTTAAGAAAAATATATAAACAGCAAACATGAAACAGCTAAAAACTATCACTCAAAATAGGTCGCGTAAACACGACCTCGCGGGCACTCGCGGCCTTCCAACTGCGTGGTATCGGTGAAATTGGGGTAATTCCGATCGCTGTTTCTTTGCTCTTTCGCTATCAAACACCAAATGCTGTACACCTTGTAAAAGTTCAGCTTTTCCTCGTTACAATGGTGTAAGTTGTTTATATGTCCGATTATTAGGAGCTGGAGAATCGTCGAGGAAAGCGAGGCCCCTCGCTGTCGGAATGCGTGATCGGCCGGTTCAAAAATTGACACTCGTGCATTCAAATGCTTCGCGGAACGAGGGATGATTAAATACCGTCTTTTTATTGGCGGAGAAGTGTAGAGCTTTAAACGGGCTTTCCCGTGGTATATATTTGGCCTATGGCCGTTAAATAGAAAGCCTTTAAAAATACCGTCAAAATTTTCAAAAATCACTTTTTACACAAAACGTGTAAAATACCAGCTCAAAAAAAGCATGAATTAAAAGTTCAGTCTATTTTCTATTAGAATAAAGTAATAAGCTAGGAATTATTTTGTATCAATCCTTCCGCGAGACTCGGAAAGCATGTGACCCCCCACGCAGGGTACACTACAGTATAGAGCCGACTCGCTCGCCGCGGGGGTTGGTGCGGCGCCGGCCGGGTCAACGCTTTGTGTTTTTATCGAAATAACAACAGACCATCGTGTTTGAGGCCATAAAATACAGATTTCTAATGATGTCACAGTCTTGAAAAAAATTACACTCCATATATTTGTTACAGTGATTGTACTCTGTTAATGTGGAAATGTTTAGTGCACTTGGTACTCTTTTATTATCAGTCAAACATGGGGTTGCAGCCAGTGACTGACTTTAACAAATTTGATCAAATTTTAAACAACTACCATTTTCTTAAAAATTGACTGAGAGGTTAAAGAATGGTACCAAAATGCTTAGTGGATATAGGCCTTTCAAATGGAACAGATACATTTGGCATACAGCTACTTTGAAAATTTAGTTTCTAGTATCTACTCAAAAGTAAGGAAAGAATCTGAGGCATTAATCTGAGGACCTCACTGAGAGAGATACACATCCCCCCTCCCCTCCCTCAGAAGCAAGCACTTATTTGGGCTTTTATAACCTAAATAATCTATTTGGGCTCCAAAATGGAAGTGCTTTTTTGAGATACACAAAGCCTAAACAAAGTCAAACAAACAAAAAAAAACAATTAAAAGATGAACAAGAAACTGCATGATTTAACTTCAAGAGAAAAGACTTCCCTTTCCAAACATATGAGTAACCAACCCCCCCCCCCCCCAAAAAAAAAAAAAACAAACCCCAAAGTAGATCTACGTCATGGAATTTAATAAAAATGAAAAATCAATAAAGCTTTTCTAGTTGTTGTAAATAACAGAGTCAGAAAAAGACTCATATTTGAGAGGTAAAAAGTACAAAAACTGTACCCCTAATTGAGACATTTCACATCCAAAACCTTGTGAACCCTGAAGCTGAAGAGCATCAACTGAAAAAAAATGTTGCACTTCTTAAATTAAATACATAATTTCAAACTTATGTCACCTAAATTTTTGACATATTTTCCTAGTTTCAAAACTGACTTCCCCAAAAAAGTACACAACAAAGGTGTACAGCTTTTCCAAATGTGCCTTAAAAAGCACAAACAAAAACCTTGACAAGAAAAAAACAACAAAAACCAACAGTGGAGAAATATATGACAATAAATTTCTTTGGATGTCTTAAAATTTTCGCAGATATATATATAAAATGTTCGAGATACACGATTTCTCAGTGGTAAAAATCCATATATAAGAATTAACCAAATCTCACAATATGGAAAAGTTTTATGCATTGTACAATCTACCAGATGTAGAAATAACATTAAAAATATGCAATATCTATTATGCTGTAAAGTTTCATGGTATGATTTTATAAAATCACTTCATAGAAATCAACATACCATTTTTCAATCCTGGTTCAACAAATACATAGCACAAATCTGGGTGTTTGCCTAAATAAATATTGCAGCTAATTTGGGCCAATGGTCATTTTAATGCACTGCACTGGAAAAACAACTCAGCTAAATGCTTGTAGATCTTTCAATCGATGATAGTGCATAAATGCAAACCATCAATCCCCCTTAATATTTGCAAAACCTTTAACACTGCCTTAGATGTAAAACAGATGGCAGGCAAAACATAAAAGAGTTTTATAAACAGAGATAAAATCTCGTAATTTAAAAATCTCAGGGTGTCATGACAATGTTCTTCAACTTATAGGCCAAAACGTGAAAAACTTCAAGTGTTATATAATCATCAAGACATAATCAGAGCTGCAAATTAGACCCTCCCATCTCCCCTGGGAAGGAGATAATCACAACACCCTGTTTTGTCACTATCACATCATGTCTCTGTTCAGTGAGAAATTCATACGAATGTTAGTCTCTTTATTGTTTAATCATCTCTATAGATCTAGAACAAAATACTCATAAAACTCATTTGCCCATTTCAGTCATCTGAGCCCTCAGTCAAGACTTGTTCATGCATCTAGAATAACGATGATATAACACATACGGGGTACGCACGCACTGACACACGTCCACACTTGATCATGCACACACACACACAAAAACATTGAGCAATGTGTTACACCAGTACAGCTGTGAGACTAACACTAGGACACATATGAACATTCTCAGCTCCCTGAAGTATGTTTGGTTTTAAAAGAAGGTTGGAAAAACCACTAAGGCATTGCTATCGACAGGCTAAAAAGAAAAGAAGAAAAGATTTGAGAACAAATAACGGTCATCCTCATATGATAAGAGCAGCACTAATAATAAGATTATATGTTTATTAGATATGTTTCTGAGTGGCATAATGCAGTGTGAGTATTGTGTTAATAAAAGCTCTGCCATAAATATTCCTTGCCGAACCAGGATTTTTCTGTAAAACCAGGAAAAAAATGTTCCGTGTTCCTCTGTCTCTCCATTGCATATATAAAAATTGAATACTGTTGTTCAGATGCAACAACCATAATACCCCTCTCAAATATAACCACAACAATCCTCACTGTAAAAGAGATATTCTTGTCTATGACAATTATGCTCCAATGGTAAAATATACATAGGTATATTTAGCAATTTCATCTCTTAAAAATATGACAACCACAGGCCTCTCTAGTAAATACCAAACCACACCCCCTATAAAATGTATATTTACACAAATGTATGTATGTATGTAAAAACAAACAATCTGTTCTCCTATATGACAGGCACATACCCCTCATCTAGTGATGTTCACTCTCTTCATGTTCAAATTCAGTCTCCTCTGTACCTTTAGTTGTTTTTTTTATGTCATCAAATCCAACATTACTGACTTACCATGTTGGGATATTCACTCTTCAAGGTCACTCCCAACCCCCCAGTATGAAACGTTCACTGGTGAAAGCAGCACTATTAAAGTAAACATGACGAGATTTCTCCATAACACCACAACCCCCC